GCACAATAGCAATAACGGTTGTACCTGGAGGGTCATTGCGACAGGGCAGGTATGTTAACAATGAGGATACTGGGGTCACGGTACGGCTTTTTCGAGGTTATAACCTGCAAAGTCAAGCCCCTCTGACTTTTCAAGTATGAGTCAAACTTGACAAGAAGCTCAAGCTCATGAATCTACTGGGGGGTGCCTGGTACTACATAACTCCTTGTAACTGAGGGGGGGATAAGCCATTGTACAATCCCCCCTTTTGGCTTTATGTGGGTTGATGCAAGTATTAACTAGGGCTATCCCCCCTCTGATTCATATTTATTAAATCTCGTGAACCCCTAAGTGGGCTTCAGAAGCTTACCGTTACAGGGAGGAGCTTCTGTTTCTGAAGGTGTGCGATGACATTGTTTTACAATCTTCCCCTCATAAAGTTGATACTAAATGACCTTAGGATACCGGAATATCCGAGTTGCTAAGACATAAGGTATAAGGTGTCTAGAGCCATGCAGGTTTGTGTCTTTCACTGTAAGATTGCCGCTCAGTAGGTAAAGACGGAAATGAGCCGTGTCATAATCCGCGCATGCTCCCTACGATTCTGCTCTCGTTATTCCCGAGCGCCAGAGGTAGACAAGGTTTGTGTCTCAAGGTTTTGTTTCTACCTGAACCCTTGAACCCCTAAACCCTAACCTGTGTGACAGTGGAATCATGTCTTTGAGCTAACGATCCCTGTCTGGGCTCTTAATCATTGGCCAGTTTTCAGGGGTCGTTCTGGGTATCTGTATACACCGGGTATAAATATCGGACCCAGGCGTAAGTAGTCAGGCTTCACTAATAAGTGAGAGACACATTTTAGTCAGACTGAGGCCTTGGACAGCCGCCTTGCGGTTCAATATTATTTGAGCTACTGTCTAAACTCCTAGTATCCCCCTTAGTAACCCCTATAGTAGTCCCCTACATAATCCCCCTATATAACCCCCTTTAAGGAGTTTAGACTATAGCGTCCTTCAAACTTCCAGCGTTCGCAGCTTTACTTCGATTCTCGGAGGACTAAGGAAGTAGGTCAGCCTGCTTAAGCAAAAATCCATGTAACTCTAAGTAGCCGTGCTTTCTGCCGAGCAACCATAGATTTCCAAATAGGCCCCTTGTGTGGACGAGGATAGCCTAAACCCTAAACCCTAAACCCCAAACCCTAAACCCCAAACCCCAAACCCTAAACCCTAAACCCTAAACCCTAAATAGGGTTGGGACTTGGGGGATGAGGTGTGGATTTTTATTGGCTACTGCCCCTAACCTTAAGGCTCCAAGGACTCATAATATTTAGGGTTTAGGGTTTAGGGTTTAGGGAAAAGGCTGTTGGGCCCAAAGACAATACTATACTCGGCTTTTGGGCTATTTTGAGCCTTAGGGTAACAGTTGGATAATAGTGTTTGGATGACCATAATGACCCCCCACAGAACGTGTTTTGCGATTTTGGTTTACGGAAGGGGGTCGCAATAGTAAATTACGGGGACATGGGTAGGACCAGGTAGAGCAGCTCGTAAGTAGGACGAAACTGAAGGGAATCTATCAAAATCGGGACGTTTCCGGGCGAACAAAAATACTATTGCCACTCCTTTAATATTGCGATTGGGACTTGTTTGTATATTTTCGGGCTCCGAAGTTGTTAGAAAGCAAATTTCATTGTCCGGGATTTTTACGGGCCAGCAACAAAACGCTATTGTCACCCCCTTGAGCAATGCTACCTAAACATTGTTTATAGTTATATATAATATAGAGATTCCCACTGTAGGCTGTTACATGGTGGGACAGTACCCAAGATTTATGTAACGAGTTTCAATTGTATACCCGAGATTTATGTAGTTAGTTTCAATTGTATAGAGTTCGAGGGCTTATGGTCCAAGGCTCAACCAAGCATTGCATTTCGCAACACAGCTGTTTCTGCTTGAGCCTCATGATAGAAGTGGGTTGGGTCTTGATCCTGACTGTTAAGTTCAAAGCTGCCTCTCAAGCCAATCGTACAAGTTGCAGTCTGAGCAGTACTGATACGGACAATGGTAGCCTGCAGCGTGATAAGACGACCGGGGCAGAAACGCATGACGCAGAACAGAAGATGCAACACTGAGAGTCACCAGCTACATACACATAGCAACATGTCTATGGCACCTGTGCTGTTCGTGTCAGCTTAGTCTCATCAAGTTTCAAACTGAGATTCTGCAAAGCCCCCTAACACACTAATCTTCCGCAAGTTCCATGAGGCAGCCTCATATTAATATGCGACACTAATCTTCCGCAAGTTCCATGGGGCAGCCTCATATTTATATGCCATTTCAGTGGGCATTAGATAATCCTAATTTCCATTCCTTCCAAACCCTCAACCCTAAACCCTGAACCCTGAACCCTAAACCCTGAACCCTAAACCCTAAACCCTGAACCCTAAACCCTAAACCCTAAAGCGAACTTTGGAAGCTCGAGCCATGCTGGTCTTATTTCTCTGCGATAGCCTCCTTCGAGGTCACAAAGGCCCTAACATCTGGGGTTAAGGGGTTTAGGGTTTAGGGGTTTAGGGTTTAGGGGTTTGGGGTTAAGGGGTTTAGGGTTTAGGGGTTGAGGGTTTCGGGTTTAGGGTTTGAGGTTTAGGCTTTAGGGGTGTAGGGGTTTAGGGTTCAGGGATTAGTGTTTGGTGTTTGAAATTTTGAGGTTTGAAGCTTCATTGCTTCCACCAGAGCCCGTACGAAAGGACCTGAGAGAAAGGCATCCCCTAAACCTCAAGTCGGACCCCGAGTTGTTGGGAGCCCTAAGCCCTTAACGTTTTGGCCCTAAACCCTAAACCTTTTCTGGCGCTAAACCCTAAACCTCTAAACCCTTTTGGGTTTAGGTTTTTGGGATCCCTGAAAGGTTCCGGCATCAAGCTGCATTGCGTAAAAGACGAGCAGCCCTTCCTTTCCTGCCTGTGTATTGCAAGCGGAGGGGCTTTGGTGATGCCGGGCCCAGTATCTGGACCGGTTTGAGAGTGGGTTGCTGTGAAGGTGAGTTACTTTTGCAGGGACACCCTATCATTTGCGATGTACCCATATTATGATAATTTAATACAAGCTCTTAATTCGCCACTATAACTGAGAGAGCCTATTATTTGCGAAGCGCCCAGACTATGGTAGTTTAATGTAAGGATCTTAATAACCGCAACACAGTTTGGGGAACTGTTGCCTGGCTCTTAGGACTTCAAGTGTGGGCTCCTTGTTATCAGGGTTTAGGTTTTAAGGTTTAGGGTTTAGGTTTAAGGGTTTAGGGTTTAGGTTTCAGGGTGTGTTATCCCTTGCCCTCATATTGAGTAAGCACCCTCTACCCCCTAACATTACGTATTCCACGTAGCAGCTCATGCATGCCCAGACCCCTGGGAGGATCTAAAAAATAGATCCCCTATATAGACCCATTATAACCCCTATATAATCCTTATATAATTCCCCTTATGGTTCTAGGGGATCTAATTTTTAG